CGTTTCAATTTCCATCTGTAATTGTAACAAGCATCATAAAAATCAAACAAACGTTGCTTCAAGTTCCGGGTAGCATAAAAAAACTAAACATCAGTTTGACAATGTGTATTTTATTTGCTCGATAGATGCTCCATGCCATTCATTCTTACAACATTTTATCGACTTTACTTACACTCATGTATTCTCAATGCATACAGTTTGTATTGAGCTTGCACACTCGTGATAGCGTCTGAACAGTGACTGCAGAAACACAAACGAACAGACAAGAAATATTTTTATTCACATTTTCGTATCTCAGCGTAGTGTTCTACACTACAATCACGAAAACTGTGAACCTTATAAACATTCCTATCAATATAACTGAAAATAAAGTCGATTGGAACAGTTATCGAGGCAAAACAAGAGCAAAATACTCACGTTTTCGATACGACGGCTAGTCGTGCGAAATGGCGTCCTCGACGAGATGAGGACGGCAGAGGAATGAGTCGAGAGTTCTCGTGCGCATGCCCGGTTGAGTTAATTTACCTCCGGTAGCCGTCCTAGCTCGTCCCCTCCTGGTATCTTAAGGTGCCTATTAAGGCCGTCAGACGGTAAGTTAGTTAGTCGGCCGGTCCATCGGTCGGTCGGTCGGGCGGTTGGTTGGTTAGTCCGTCAATTTATTCAAATGCTTGAGTTATTACGCGTGAGTCCGTTGTTCAACTGTAACTTTCTGCCACCTTTCAGATGACATCTGGATCATATCAAAGACGCTGTTGTTCAATCCAGATTCCACATTCATAGCAAGCAGTGCTTATTATGGTCCGTCCTCCTGCGGGGAACTGGAAATACATCCTATCAGGTATTAAACTTCTACCCCTTTCATGAACATCGTTGTTGTTGTGTATTTTTTTATTATTATTATTGTTGTGGTTGTTGTTGTTTTGTTATAAAATGAAACTACGTCAGTTGAGAAGATGCTCAGCTCCAGTAGAGAAGATGTTCAGCTCAACAAAGTCACGGAAAACGCAGAGAAAAATGTGTTTACTTTTTGTCATTAGTTTTCTGTTGTCCTAAAATCTTCTAGTACCTTCTTTGTATTAGTGATAAACATCACAAGCAATGTGTTCTGTTGTTGCAGTGGTTATTCTCCTTCTAACTGGCAAAGTGGAGGTTAGTTCACCGAGCAAAATAAAAGAAGTTTCTTATTCAAAGCTCACATGATTTGAAAACTTTTTTTTTCGTTTTGATTCTTTTCATTTTAATCTAGTAGTAAGTAGTATTCAAGTTTATCATTTACGAGTAGAACAATTAGCATTTGCATTGCATTTCATAGTTAAATTCACCACTGAAAATGATTGAAATATAAAAACGAAAGATTTACTCTTTGAAAATGATGTGAAACAATTTGGGACGAGGGAGGATAGAAATTGTCAAGGAACAATAATCTCTGATGAAAACCGTCCTTTGGCCAATAACGATCGCGTATTAAATACTGAAAAAAGCTTGCCGTTTAGTAAAAAGGCACTGGGTTTTTGGTAGCTATTCGATTTCGTACTGTATATAACAGAATGGTGACATAGAACTGTCTTCTTTAAAATGACTGTCTTGTTTCTCCTCTTTTACTACAGAAATCGTTCATGCTTTGATGGCCTGTAATGCCGGCACAGAACTGACTTGTATTAGCAATATTGAGGATCATGTCAAGATACAGAACATGCCTGTTCTTCCCTACATTTTACACAGGTGTGTTTGTTCGTCTCCTTTTGTTTTATCTGTATTGTTTTGTTTTGTTTTGTTTTTCATTTTTGTTTTGCTTTTGTTTGTTTTTGTTTTTAAGTTTCTTAACTTTTCTTCGAGTCAAAGGCAGTTTGATACAAGCTAAAGGAAACTCAAAAGGCTTACCTGAATTTTGATTTTTCTCGGAACGTTTTCTTTTTTTGCTGCTAAGCTTACTTTACTTGGAGTAAAACCTGTTAATAGCATTCAGAAAAAAAAAAGTTTATGAAAGAACATAGGAGAAATGTTAGGGATTCGTAAAAGCGAGCAAAATGTCAGAATTGAATTAGGATGAGCAAGTACGCCAATGCACTCGCGAGGGTTGACCAAATTATTTCGATTAAAGTTTGAATTATTAGCACTTTAACTTAATCTTCTACACATCTATATAATTTTGGTTCGAAAGTCTTTGACTAGAAATTAATGCCAGAACGTTCTTTCATTGCAACTGCGGGGTTCTAGAGATCAGACAGAGGAACGAAATACCAGGATCGCTTCACGAGCCTCGTCCTTTGTTCCTCCCACGCTGAGGACACCCGGTGGTCAGCTTGATCTACCATTAGAAGTAACGGTGAGACAGAACTTAGCATTATTTTCCAGTTACAGGTTGTTTTATTGATGTTCATTATCAATAAGTAACTTGTTTGGGGGTTATCATAAGTTCATAGTAAGTACTTGAATAACGTGTAAAATTAGACATTAATTTCTGATTGTTTTTCCCTACTTAGACTAAGCTGTCAGTTGCCAATAGAATGAGCAATCGAGACAATTTGTGCAAACAGTATAATATCCCAACTGTAATTAAGTAACATGTGTATAGAATTTAAAACTTTTGGATATACATTTAACAACGTATGTTATGCCTTCGTTTCATTTTGGTAAAGGAAAGCTTAGCTGAAGAAATGATAGCTCGTTTTAGCTTAAACAAGGTAAGTTACGAATGTTTACTTCACTATACACATGAATCAACAGCCTGCTGTAGTTGGCTTGAATTTTTATTTTATTATTTTTATTTTTTGTTATTATTTTTTTTTTAATATTACTTAGGCGTAGCTCGGTCTTGTGTCGCACAGTTTCTCGCAACATTTTCACTCGTATTTCCATCCCTTCAAGTGTTTCGCTCAATACTGCAGAAGCAGGGGTAAACACATGATGCAATTAGCCATTGCGCGAAATCTAGCGCGCAATGTTAACGGTATACAGTGTAAAGCGGCAGGTAATGCTGATACGAACTTTCTTTGTGTCTGTTTTTTAGGATCAAACGGTCGCCCTGCTATCCTGTGCAAGCATGTTTAGCTCGTCTGCAGCAGACAGCTCTTCTCTGCCAGTGTGCTTGATACACGGTAAGTTTTGACTTCTTTAGTATTCTTCAAACGTTTTTATTTCCTAGGAATCAGCAAAAAACATAGGATGCGTGATACTGCCGATAAGTTGAGTAGAAGGCTTTGTACGAATGTTCTTATTATTACTGTGGTTTTTTTTTTTTTTTTTTTTTCATTATTTTATGTTTTATTTCGTACTTTACTTCAAGTTGAGCTACACCATATTAACCGACTTTCTTTAGTTATGAACCACCATGTCAAATTCGGTAAACATTTTACTTCTCGATTTCATAGTTCGCGCGTGTGGTGTTATATACATGTACGTTGTAAAAAAAGCAGCCTTTAAAGTTGAGTTATACCTGTATTTTAAACCTACGAATGTTCAAACACTTTGTTTTTTAGCACACAGTAAAACAATCATTACTCGACACTTAAATATACAACCGGTGCAAGGCGCGGGAATGCGCACCCTAAAAGACCACGTGACCACCGTTCCTCTTCTGTGATTGGTCAAAGTCTATCGAGTTTTTAGCCTTTTGTATCACCAATTGTCTTCGAAATTCATCTGAAAACTGTACGAGACTGTTACATCACTTTAAATGTATTACTCTTTTGAAATTATTTTTTTTCTTATATAGGCGTCTTTGGTGCAGGGAAAAGTTTTCTACTCGCTGTTGTTGTTCTTTATCTGGTGGAATTATTCAAAGCGAGTGATGCTCTCAATCAGCAGAGGTGAGATCAGTTCATGTAGCTGGTTGAAGATAGGAATAACTGAATGCTACACTGCTTATACAGCTTGTCAAACTTTAAGCCCTGATTCCAGTACATGCGTCTTAAGCATATTCGTTTATCAAGTGATGCTACAGTAATGGTATCACACAAATGCCCAATAATTGGCAAACAGGTTACCATTGCAACAATACACGCTGTTTAATACTTATAACTGGAGAACGAGCGCGGAGACCCCTATTTTTGTTTATTATTGATTTGTGATAAGCATGATAAGATGCGACGTTTTGCAAAGTTTAATATAATTCTATCTAGAGGGTTCGGAGGCACCTCAAATTTGTTGCCAGTCTCTTTGAAGCTCAGACGAAACGCTAACACTCGAAAAGTCATCTTCACAAACTCGCTACGGCGGTTGACGTCGAGTTGATTAGCAGCTAAGTGTTTCGTTTGTTCGCCAGCACTGCCCGGAAAAATTACACAGAGTAGGTGCCATCGTTAGAGCTGCTTTTTTTGCGAAAGATCGCATTACAAAAAGCAGGGATTGCGCTAGTAGGAAAAAAAACCCTGGATTCGGTCTCGAGATTGACACTGGATTTTAAAATCCTGATCACACTGTTTTTTTTGTTTCGATTCTTTTGTTAACTGAAGCAGTAACACGTCCTCGTCGTGGAAGATTCTTGTGTCCTCTACAACAAACGTGGCCGTCGATCGCATTTTGTCAGGGTAAGATCTCGATCTGAACATGAATTACTTCGTGATTGTATTTATTCTCGTCACCTGTTTGCTTGACAATTGAGTGATTTTGTCAGGAGAAATATATCATTGATCACACAAAATTCTCTCTTTTACTGAGCAGATTGCTGGAGCTCGGGTTTGAAGAGTTCGTTCGAGTGGGCAGCATTCGTAAGATCGCCAAACCAGTGTTACCTTATAGTGTACACAGTACTGGAAGTGACAGTCAGGAATTAAAAGAACTGCAGTCCCTACTGAAGACTGAACTCACACCATCGGAAAGAAAGTAAGCACATTCTTAAGCGGGGGTAAGCGGCTATCCCGTGGAACGACCCGCGGGTTCTCAGGGATTGTCAGTGCAGATATGTCTTACATTTAGATCAGTATGGATTTTTACTTTTTAGTAGTCTTTACTCAGCCGCCTTTTTCTACTGAGAACAGAGCCAGTGCTGACGTCGTCAAACGACGTTGGCGTGTCTTCCTGTAGTTGATTTTCAGTGATCACAACTATCATTATTTGATTTACCTGACGAAGATTCGAGTACCATAACACAATATAATACTCATACAAGTTTCTCGGAAACGTGGAGACTCTAATTTTATTTGACATAAGTGTTTTATTGTTTGTGTTTTAGCCATGTACGGAAAGGCATTGAACAGCACAAGCTTGGAGAAAATAAAAGGGTGAGTGGGAAAAAAGGATGTTTTTAACGTTTAGAAATTAGAGTATGCGTATACTCTGTACACCGTGTTCACTACGTGTGATCAAGCCGTGGGTGAAGGTGGGCCAGCAAATGACTGTCCTTGCATGATGAAGGTTTTGACAACCCTTGCGGAATAAATCTTCAGAGTCAAAACAAAGATGGTATAAAGTCTCTGGTCCTTGAAACTAATGGTCAGGTTTGCCGTGATGACACACTGAGATTGCTCCATGGGTCGCCCGTTGTAGTCGCATATTCCGCTTGTAGCACACGCCTACACTAGTATAACAAAATACTTTCAATCGTAGACCTTTTTTATGTCACAGGATATTTGCACAGTGTTTTATTCACTAGTTGGACAGTCTACTTTTAAATCATTCCATATTTCACCTTTTGTTACTGCGCCTGCCAGTTCATTAACGTGGCTTTTTTTATTTGTTTTGCACCTCTATGGTTTTATTGCCAATAAGGTGTCGAAATTCACGTTCTGTTCTTGAGTTGCTCGTTTTCCTTTTTCTTTTTCCTACTTCTAGCACTGACAAAATTGTTTTGAGTCAGAGCAAGGCATGTCACTGTTCTTACTTGCACTTTTAATGTTACCACTTTGTGGCTACTTTTATAGGCGGAATTTCAGCCGAGAGGACGACAGAAATAATGGCTACTGTTTTTACGTTTTGCTAAACACTATCGGAAAAAGCAATTTTATATAGCTCTTATCTGCTTAATCTGATCGCAATTTCATGTTTGTTGGCTGTCTGAATACCCGAGAAACGATTAACTCTTTTAAAACTGCGTGGCCAATCATCGTTTTGTTGATTAAACTTATCTTACCAGCAACCTCAATACTTTGTTCAGGAGATATTTAAAAAAGTGAAGGAGATAAAGAACTTCCACAAGTTGAGATATCGCCATGATGTGGTGTCAAGCGTAATGGAAGCTTATCATGAACAAGATTGAAGTTTGTCTTTCGAAGTTTAACGATCACGAATGGACAGCTGTGCATAGCTAATGCCAAAAATTTGGTTACGATAATATGAAAAGTAACTAAGCATAAGCCAACCAGATGAACAATATCTCTTTTCGAACCAAGCTATAACAAATTATCGTTCCCAACGAACCAAATCGTGGCTGAAACTCGATATTAATTGAATGCCTTATGCCTTTTCTTTTTTTAATGATAGTTCCATTATGTCATATACAGTAGTAATATGTAGTGGTAGTGAAAATGTTTTTTTTTTTTTTTCAAAGCGAGCCAAATTAGTGCGCGGAACGCGCTTGAGAGCTTAAGTCTCGATAAGATCTTCTTACCTTTATTCAAAACATTACCATGTTATGAGACTTTTTTGGTAACTTTATTTTTGCCATTATTGCTCGAATGTTCTGCGGAAATCATCTTAATTTATTTAACAAGTCCTAAATATTTTGTTTCCGCTCTCAGCACGATGGCTTTTTCGGCTTCTTTCGCTGTCGTTCACGCGGTTACGGTGCAAGCAAGGTAGAGACAGTTTAAACCCGTTTCTGTAGTTGGAACTTTGAAACGCGTACAGAACTGGGTTCAAGGACGAACTCGCGTACATTAAGCACTTGACGGCCTCAAAACCATTCCAAAACATGACCTTTTCAGTTGAACTAAGCCTGTCCACATAATTATTGGAGGCGACAATCATCATGTACAGACCGAATGGCAAGAAACAGGCGTAGAACATCAGCGACACTGCTATTAGAAGCTTGACGACCTTCTTCTTAGATTGAAGGTCTCTTGGATCAAACGTTTGGGCGCTGGTAGTCTTGTTGAAGTGGAGCGCATTGATGATCAGCGCGTAGCAGAAGCTAATGGCAATCATGGGGAAGAACACGTTCATCGTGATGACAACGACCACTGCGTCTTGCATCGATTGCGCTGCATCCTTATTCGTCCACGGGCTCTCACAACGGCAGGTGACTTCGTTAAATGTCGTCTCCACGAANGTTGTACTGTGTGCTTAACGAAACCTTGCTAAATTATTTTGCAGATTTGAATGCCGGAAGCTGGTCCTGGTCGGAGACCCAAAAGTAAGTAGCGTACGGGCCTCTTTCCTTTTTTTTCCACAGTCCTGGTCGCCAGTTAAATTGCGCGTTTGTTTATTTATGTTTTATTTATTCAGCAACTGAGCCCCACTATTCAAGGTTCAGAGCCTGACCACGAAGCTGGACTTGAACAAACTTTGTTTGATCGTCTCATGAAGATGGTAAGTTTTATGAAACCTTTTTGTTAAGTTGGTTGGATACAGATATCTGTTAGCAAATTAACTGTAATTCCTATACAGCTATACCCCGAGACGACAGAGTAACTCGATTACAAAACGCCTATCAAAAGAAAGTCCACCGAAAGTTTTGGGAGTTTCCACACATTCATTCCATTCATAGATGGTTATCCCTTAAGATTTTGACAAACGTAAGTTTAATATGAAGACAAGAAACCTTTGCAGAATATTTGGCCTATTATTATTTCTTCGCAAAACGCTGAT